GAAGTCGACGTTCGTGCTACTGGTGGACCGAAGACATCGCTAACTTGCGCAGAGAGGCGCAGCATCTACGGCGTCTAGCACAGCGTCCCAGAATTCGCGAAGGCGCCGGGGTAGCTGTTGCCACGTACAGGAAAGCAAAAAAAGTGTTAGTGAGGACGATCAAGGTGAGCAAGAACCGATGCTGGCGCAAGCTCATCGCCGAGATAGATAAGGACACGTGGGGCCTGGGCTACCGGATCGCGTTAAAAAGACTTCGCGGTACGGACCCGACGCCGCCGATGGAACTTTCTTTTTTTGGAGAGGGTGGTCTCTTGCCTTTTTCCGGAGCATCCCTCTAGGAGGTGAGAGGACATAAGTGTGGGACAAGTGCCTCTCTTCACGCTCGATGAATTAAGGTCGGTGGCATCGGAGACGCCGGGGCGAAAGGCCTCCCGTCCAGACGGGGTGCCGTTCGAAGTCCTCAAGATCATAGCTGCGGAGAAGCCACACGTTTTGTTGGACATGTTTAATGTGCGCCTGCGCGTTGGACTGTTCAGCGAGCGTTGGAAGATCCAAAAGCTTGTTCTTCTGGACAAGGGCAAACCACCTTCCCTGGTACCGTCATCATTCCGACCCTTAGGTATGTTAAACAATGCTGGAAAAATGCTAGAGAGGCTGATAAAAACCCGCTTAAGAGGGAAAGTCAGCCTTTCAGAAAATCAGTACGGGTTCCGAAAGGGGCGATCGACGGGAATGGCTGTGGCTGAGGTTCTCGAGTCGGTCAAGGAGGCATGGAAACCCTCTCATAAGACGAGGAGCGTCTGTGTCCTGGCGACTCTCGACGTAAAGAATGCCTTTAACTCGGCGAAATGGTCCGACATAATGAGGGCCCTGAAGGGCCAGAATGTGCCGGACTACCTGAGAAAGATTCTGGACAGTTACCTTCAGGGTCGAGTACTCTGGTACGACACGAAGGATGGACCAAGAGACAGGCGTCTGACGTCGGGAGTCGCACAGGGATCTGCCCTTGGCCCCGATCTCTGGAACCTGGTCTACGACGAACTTTTGCGCCTTGAAATGCCTCCGGGGGTCGAGCTGACGGGCTTTGCTGACGACATAGCATTACACGTCACAGCGACATCGCGAGAGGAGGCCGAGCGCAAAATACGATGGGCGGTCGCGATAGTGTCGGATGGCTCCGGGACCACGGTTTTGAGCTAGCTGTAGGAAAAATGGAGATGGTCGTCCTCACCAGGCAGAGATGGTTCAGAGGTAACTTTCGCCTGAGCGTTGCGGGTGAGGTAATCTGCGCAAGTCCGGTGGTGCGCTACCTCAGAGTGTGGATCGATTCACGACTCACCTTCGGGGAGCACATCAGGAGAGCAGCCAATAAAGTCGCTAGGGTCTCTGGGGCGCTTTCACGGTTAATGTCGAATGTTGGAGGCCCACGGGAAGCCAAAAGACGGCTCCTTGCGTCGATCCCCAACTCGATCCTGCTGTACGGCGCGGAGGTATGGGCCGACGCACTCGCGAGGAAGGATGTCCGAGAGCGCTTAACTTCGGTGCAGCGCATCGGATCCTTAAGAATCGTGTGTGCCTAACGCACGGTCTCCTTCGCTGCTGCTATGGTGATAGCACGAACGATTTCCATCGTGTTGCTTGCACGGGAGCGAACATTCTTCTCAGATACATGCATCACACACTCTCACTAAACAAACACAGGGACACTTACGGATTGTTCTGGGTTGCGTGTGGCGGGTCCTTCTCCAAGCTTTCGTTGGAGGCCTGGCGGCGGGTGAAGCCAGATAATGAGGCCTAGGTAAGTCTGGGTAACCACATCTAATATGGCTGTACGCCTTATAAACAAAAAAGATGTGGTGGACCGACTAATCTAGGCTTACTACCACTGAGGAGGCTATATGGCGGCACCTTAGTGCCTTACGCCAGCCCGTTTTGTTGGGTTGTCTGCGCGGTCGTGGGACTGTACACCTGCTGCTTGTCTCGCTGGGATGACCGTTGTGTACCAATATATACATACATTACACACGAACACCATTCTTACACTTGTTACGCAATGCCAGGGCAGTCTCCGCGGGTGGGACTGAGGGAGAGTGGCGACTCCCGACCGGCCCGAGCAAGTAGCGGTTCTTTCTGGTAACAGAGAGGGCTGCTGTCCTGGTTTTAACCTTTTCCAAATACTGATATGTAGTGTAGATATAGTAGTAGAAGTAATATCAGAAGTAGTAGCGGTGGCTTTTTTTGTTTGTTTTTTTTGTGGAGGGAAGGAAAATGCATTGAGGCACGCTGCAGGAACGGCGGTAGTGTTAGACTCAGTGGATTTTTCTATTAGATCACTAATACCTACTAAGCTCTTCACCCATGCCATGTGGCTTTAGTTCTGCCCCGGAACCGCGTCATCATTACTTGAGGGTAGAGTCATTAGGAAGAACATTGTATCTCACAGCATTAGCGAGCCAGCTTTCCACCAGTTGCAGGAGGTGCCAATCCTCTTCAGTCTTGAAAAAGACTCGGGATCTCTTGAGCCAGCATCCATGTCTTAAACTACTTCAAAAACTTTGGACGCTTTACTTAATCACCCCTTGGGCTTTCCTCATGGCTTCTTTTAACGCTTGTCTAAAAATTGGGCAGCTCTTACTACCAGCTTCGTGTTTCGTGTCTTCTGTCTTGCAAAGGAAGCACTGTACTATACCACTGCATTATTTTTTTGGTGGTTGCAGCTTCCGCATTTGAAACACAGCTTTGATCTGTCCTCTTCTTTGCAGTCATTGGATACATGTCTATATCCCAGACATTTGAAACACCTTGTTACAACTATTTTTTTTTTTTTTTTAACACGGCAAGAGACGAAGCCAATCTTGAACCGGCCTACGTGTACAACTTCCTTAGCAGCTATTTCGTCAAGAGTCACGAGCACTATTCTTTGTCCCTTAGCGTTTGCCTTAAGAAGTTGAAGCTCTCAATCTTGGTTTCTGCTTCTGATGACTTTTTCAAATGACTGCCGTACCTCTGCTTCTTCTAAAACAGTGACATCAGCCAAATCCTGCTTAATTTTCTTAAACGCTATCTGCCACTGTTTACCGCCACGCGCAACACACATACCTCGATAAAAGCCATGTGGCGAGACAGATTACCAATCAGGTTGCCACGCAGAAGGTACAACAGGACGACAACACCACCAGGTGCAGTAGCTTCGGTGATGAGTTGATAGTGTAGCAGGCTCACTGGCAGAAAGAAAGCACGTTCCTGCAGCTGCAGCCGCAGCAAGGCGTTTAGCGTGGAGAAACGGCTAGCAGCTAGAGGCAGCAACAAAAATCTAACTAAAAAGGCAGGAAATGCGCCCTCGCAGAGAGTCGTCCAACAGTCCTCATTGGGTAGCAGCGTGAATGGGTTGACATCACGTCGGGGTCACCAATGTGGAGAGTTGGCCCTGGCTTTGTCCAGTGCTCTCTCCAGATCACCGGTACTGCTCCGAAATGTAGGGTATAAGTATGACCGCTCTGCTAGGCAGCTAGCCTTCGACCGACTATACCCACTAATGTACAAGTGCATTTGCTTCGCGCTACGGGAATCCCTTTACTACTCAGTTAGTTATAATAGAATATCCTCACACTCTTACTGTTCTGAGCGTCTTCTTCTGGTTTGCCCTCGGTAAACCTTTTTTTTTGGTCGTCCCAGTATTTCGCCTTATGTCAGGGCTTTCCGAAGGACTCCTCATTCTTTTGGCTTAGTCTATTTGCTTAAAAGCAATTTTCAAGGTTTTCATTTGGACGTGCCGTCGGAAATGATCAATTTTGTGCTCCTTATACTGCAAGGATTCAAAGCACTGCCTCACGATTTGTAGGGCCTTTCTTTATCAAAAAGAACATCCTATCTAATAATTTCTGCCGATTCAGGGTGCTTAAGAGCAGCTTTAAGGCCATCCTTAATAACCTTTGCCATGTTACCATACTTCTGATTTATGGCTTCGAGTGTCTCTATAATCTCTTTTGTTGCTGATTCAACTTGCTTAATTTTTTTGTTTCGTTTCAGTTCAAGTTTTGCGCCGTCTGTTACCATGGCAGCAAGCTCGTTTTGCGTCTGGTTGCTAAAGACACTAACATCGCTCTGCTGGCTAGCGTTGCTACCTATGCTTGTAAGGCTAGATATTCTATCTTTATCCAACAATGGCTATCTAAGGTTTAGTAAACCTTGTTGGCCACCAAAAACATCTTGAGGCCCCCGCCCCCAGAATCAGTGGGGTCTGCTACAGTCACCCAGGCTTTCACCGGATTGGAACTGCCGGCGGATTCCCTCTGAGAGGTTACCGTCTGAGGTACTTGTTTTACATTAATATTCTTCATAGTGGTATCTTCTTTTTTAATGCGTGCTGACCAGTGAAAGTTAATACTACCCTTTTTTCTAAAAATAAGTATTTGGAAATGGTTAAAACCAAGGCAATAGCCCTCTGTGTCCTGAGAAGGGTGCTGCTTGCTCGAGTCGGCCGAGAGTCGCCACTTTCCTTCAATCCTGTTAGCGAAGACTACTCTAGAGTTGTATAAACAGTGTTAAAGTAGCGATAGTGTCTGGTGAAAGTGTATGCAGGCAAACTACAAGTGCCCCAGCGCGACAAACGTGTGTTTGCTTCTACCTTACGGAAGATAAGTAATGGTAGCAGGCGTTTTTTACTGTTTGCGAAAGACAAAAAATAAGTGGCGGCAGCGCTACTACAATGTATACTTATTGGAAACTATAATAACGGTTGACCTGCGAAATTTTAACTTATTTAGGTTTTATAGGTTACAAAAAGATATACTTCTTATACTACATGCGTTAAAAACATTGACATCAACATTCAATTTAATGAATTTGTACTTAAATTCAATTTAAGTGATAGCTATAACAAATGTTAAAATTGTTATGAATATAAATATTATACAATTTTTACGACGAAAATTTTTAAATTATTATTCATGCTTTTAATCCATTTACTTAATTAAATAAGTAAATTATAAATAACATACCCATAGTTTTCGTAACATGTACGCATTTTCCATGGAACCAGTCCTGGCACATGTCACAGCATATCATGAACCTATTATTGTGGGGTTGTCGACATATACACCATAACCTATTGGGATCATCTTCTGAGCCTGAATTAACCTCCTCCTCATCGTTGTCATCAATGTCATACATCATGTCACAATTTTTTAAACCCATATGAGCTGGTACTCTCCTGTAATTTACAATACTGTGTTTTATTATAATGGCACATTAAACAAAATGAGGGATATCTTTATAGGTCTGTTTTTAAATACTTTCAACTAAAAGGTTGCAATGATGCATCATGCTAAGAAACTCGAAGTATTTGAGCAACGCAAATGCACGTTCTTATGCTTAAGCAAGTAAGTAGGACTTCACTTTTTGAATTTTAACCCTTGAGCAACCATAACTCATAATCTACGCAGTCAATAAATTAAGATGTATAAGTGGAATCACGAAAAACATTTAACCTAATTTTTATATTCTTGTTAAATCAGATGCTTAGCTATACAAACGATCCTTGTTAAACGTTAATGTGTACCAAATCTATACGATTGGCTATTTATCTATCGGTTGTTTTCAGGGTTGTAGAAATATGATGAAGTAAGAAAGTCACTCAAAGAGATCCATGTCGAAATGCGTATCAAATTTTTTCATAAACAGCTTTGATCAATACACTGAAAGTTTCCGTGTATTTTTCTATTTCAAGTATTCTAATTGGCATAGGCATCCTAAAATATTTCATTTTCAAAATGTAATGACTAACTCAAGATTAGAATTGTAAGTTTATACCTATTTTTGACGATTTTAAGCTTTGTTTTAATGTTTTTCGAATCTAGATTACAAATGTAATAGAGTTACTTTTAGGAAACATTTGTGATCAGGGATCCGTTGGGAGTCAATCAGCAGGAAGTTAATAAATACATTTACAAATGTAATTAGGATTCGCTGCTTATTCATTATAACAACGTTTCACTGGCCATTTGCACCAGTCTCATCAGGCTAAACAAAATTAATGACACACTTTTTAGAGGATTACTGAAAATACACTTACAGCAATGTTAATATAAGACAAAAATATCAACTAGCACCATATCAAAAATAAACAAAATTTCATTGTTTCTTCAAATAAAGACAGAACTAATAAGCTCAAGGAGACAAATGTCATCTAAAAATAAATCAAGACACACATGTGTGTATTGATATATTGTCTTGGAAATGTCTGGTTTTAAGATTTTGGGAGTTGTGGACTATAAATTTGGAAGTGACCAGGTAATAAAGACATGTAGTTAAAAATTACAAACGGATTTTAGAATTCATATTTTATATTTTCTATTATCAAGCAGTATGATAGACAAAGATAAAAATACTGACTTTTAAGGTCATAATAGGTTTTAGGTTCAGGTGTAGTGGGTTGATAAATATACTGTACGCTAGATTTGGTCAGAAAAAACTTTTCATTATCCTGTAAAATCAATTTAACTGCCTCGGGAAGTTCCATATCGATGCTCCAAACGACGACTATGCTCTATTTGCCCCTGGATGCAAACTATACTCTCACGACATCCCAGGTGAAGACTCTGCCATTTTTCTAGTCCAGACGAAAATTACGCCATTTTCTGGTCCCAGACGAAAACTATGCCGTTTTCTCGAATCCGAACGAAAACTATTACTTTTTTTCTATCTCAAACAAAAACAATATCTTTTTTCTGATCCTGGGCAAAAACTTTGCCCTTTTTTTGAATCCAGACGAAAAATATGCCTTTCTCTCGAGTCAGGACAAAGTCTATGCTCTTTTTCCTTAATCTCAAAAACATTCTTTGTTATTTTCTTAAAAGCAGAGGCATTAAATTTTCTGGGAAAACAGTCTTTTACAAATTTTTGGCACTACTGGTACCACGCTAATATCGCTGAACCTCCTCTTTAATCTTTTAATAGTCATCTACTTAAAAACGTTTTTACAAAAATACTCTATATTTTTTGATATTTAAAAACCTAACACAGAAAGAGATTTATTTTATCATTTAACACTTCAAGTTCTTAGTATTAAATACTTGTATTTATAGTGTTCAATTAGCAGCATTATTAGTACTTTAGTGATCATGTAAATCGTGACGCCCGAAGTACGATTGTCACATGCAGGCTGTCATGCAGTAAAGGGAAGCATCGTTGATAATTGTTACATAGCTATTTCGATCCCCTGTCTGTATGCATGAGTTTGTTTTGTTTACAATTCAGGAGTATCAAAATCGTATACAATACAAAGCACAAAAATAAGGAAACATAAACATAAACATAGTTCTAAGCTTAGAGAAATAAAGCGTAGTCTTCATGGGTTTGCCATTAAGACGAACCACCGAGGAGGCTGATGATGTTTCCAGCAGATGTTGCTGCCCTAACTCCTCAACGGTTTTTTCTTGGCTTGCTGATGTACCAAGAGGTGCTTTGACAGTACTAGGATGGTTGAAAGAACATACACTATGCCCTAAGGCAGTGTGGCTAGTTGTGCTTTGGACGGACGTTTCATGGTATTTCGCTAGAGACGGGATTTTAAATACTTTTTTTACGTGGCACTCTGTCATCTTAGTGATCCAGGGAGCAAATCGGCTTAGGTCGCTTGCTCATTATAGAAAGTAAGAGTGTCAACGGTAGCCAGAATACTTAGCTGCATGACTAATTCTGCTCTTGACGTATTTTCAGGGACTGACAATAGTAATCGATATTTTATGGGGAATATTATAACCAGACTTACTGACTTTGATTGCAGATGGCTTTAGTTTTGCTTCAACACTACCTAGCAGATCCTACACAACTAATGTGGAAAGCTAGCATTTTTTGCAAAACTTCGAGCTAGTTATTGTGATGGTTATTAATTTTTTTTTAGAAAAAACCATAAAAACCATGCAAAAATCACCCAGGGAGTGTCAAGAATTAGTATGAAAAATGTCAGCAAAATCGGTTGAGCAGTTTTTACGGCTAGCAATTACGATGATTTTTGGGACATAGCTTTATATATTGAGGAAATTGTGCCACTGATTTGTGTCTTATTAAACAAAAAGCTTTTCTAGATTATTCGTACATAGTTAAACATTGAATAAAATAAACAATTTAAGTAAACCACGTTACAGAACGTATTTAATGAACAAATGTATTCAATAAAAGTTATAGCAAGCAATAAAAAACATATTTCTTCATAAATTGTTTCTCGCTGAAAGTTATACTACCTGTTAAAACGAAGCTTTTTTTAATCAGGTACCATTCAATGACCTAGTTAATTATATTATTAGCTACGCTAAAATAGGCTTTTTCTTGACACTTTTTTAGTGCTGAGCTTAGAAAGATGCTTTTCTGATTCTCAGCTGAAATATATCTTTTGTTAGTGCTCAGATAAAATAAAATTTACTTAGAGCAAATCTAAAATGTGACCATTCTTTAAGCGAATTTGAAATGAGACCTTTGTAGGGCAAATCCAACGTGGAACCTTTCTCAGGGGAAGTATGAAATAGGACCTCCTACCTTTCAAGCGACGCGATGAATAATTAAAAATTAAAAATTAATATTTATAATCACAGTAAAGAATGTATTAGCAATTATGATTATAATTTTATTATAGAAAAAAGGATTAATTTTAATCCTTGTCCAACTTATGTACACGAACTAAATAAAACACACACACATACACAGAGGCGAGTGAGCGTATTTGACCCCATATTTTCAAAAAAATCCTCTGCAAGATAATTATTAGAAAAAAAATAACATAGTCTAAGTAGCGCTTGAAGAGACGAAGACAAATGATTTTTTTGAGTTTCAATCGGTCAACAACTCTTCCTACAAAAAATTAAAACCACCAAAAATGGTCAATTTTAGACATTCAATTACAACCATGAGGGTCCTAAGAACTTTTTTCAGCGCTTAAATTGTAGGTATTTTTAACACCTAGCTTTGATAAAAATTTAGTTACGAAACTTTATTAAGTTTTAATACAATTTACCACATATCAGAATTTATCCAAGGACTTGCCACTCTCTTCATTAGTATACATCTTTTTCGTCATTACGATGCCATTTTTTGTCTTTTTGCAGCATGGTCGTCATAAAATATATCAATCAACTCAATCACGTCATCATTTCGTAATTTTCTAAAAATTTTATTCTTTTACTGCTTGTAAAAACAAAACTTTATATCGGAACCCGAGAAAGCGCGGATAAATAAAATATACCAACTTAAATAGTTGTGCAAAAAACTGACTCTGTTGTCTATCAACCAAGTTGCCCCTCTGTTGTTCGGTTCTATCAAATATGTACTGTCTCTTAGTGACAACTAAGTTAACAACGCCAGCAAATCATGGGCTTCCTTTATAACAGCTACGCTATTTTTGAGTACTGACAATTCTGTCACTATTTCTACTATCGGAAAATCTGCATCTTTTTCCACAATTACCGTTTTACATTCGATTTCATTTAACTTAGAACATAAAAATCTTATTAGACGTCGCTTGTTACTTTCATTGGTTAGAAATTTTTCTTGCAAAATTATTATTGGAGTGTGTGCTTCAAAGTTGATCTCACAGCTACCAACTCGTTGAATTTTGAGAGACCTCTCAGCGCTTTTCATTGATGATACGGTATTTTCAAGGCAGCCATCGAAAACAACAGTGCAGTTAACAGGGCTGTAGCGTCGTGGTATGTGTCTGGTGTACATTTGTATAATATCGTGAACGGTTTCGTTCGTGTTTCATGTACAACGACGAAGTACGAATCCCCGTCGATTACCTATAGCGTACGGTCGTTTAGCATGTGATCAATTTTCTCAAAGATGCAGTAGAAAAAGATGATTTAGCGGTTTTTAAAAAGAAAATTAAAATAATTCTTCCAAAATCTTTTCCCACCATGTTTGTAAAGAAAGTCAAACCAACTCCAAAAAACTTCCAACGGTTAATGTTGTCACCACCAACGATACCGGCGGTTGGTTACATCGTGAGAGATTCTGCTCAACTACGAATCTACGTGTTGCTCCGACGTATAAAACGATACCTCACAAAAAGACTAGATTTTACTTGTTACTTGTTGTAGAACAGCCGTTAAATATGATAGAATGCTTTTTATTATCCGTTGACCTCGTGTTACTTTTTGTCTGCATTGAAACAATTTCATTAACGACTGTTTAATCAACATGTCAGACCATGTGCCCACT